GACCTCTAGAACTGTCCCAAAATAGTTTATTCCTGTCAGTCCCTGGATCAGACCCATACAATCACCTTGCCCATATGTCTTGTCCTGATCCTCTATGCGACCTCCTCCACGAAGCCGCTCCTCACCTGGATCACTCGGAGGTCAAGGTAGGGACTAAATCATCAATCTGAGATGGTTTCTGGGAAAGAAGGACTGAAGTGGGCCGCACCCTACGTGTGTCAGCTCCACCCACCTTTAGTAAGCACCCATAATGGGAAGAAGGGGCGAGAGGAGTTGAGTATTTTATGTTATGACTTTGTGGTCCAGTACCTGTAACTTTTTGCAATTTGGTCTCTGGCTCTGCTTGAGTGACTAAGTAGCTCTGCAGTATGAACTCTGACTCTGTCTACCTGACAAACCGCACTCCCTGTATTGTCTGTTTAATCGCTACCTGTTTGACAAGTTTGTTTCATGAGCTCCAAGGGAAACTGAGGCAATGGTCCTAGTCTTGTGACAACCCTGCTGTCCATGTCTCATGACCACAAGCGTTGACCATATCTCCTACCTCTACCTGCTGACCATGGATTAACAGAAACTAGAAAGACCGGTTGCACTCATCAACCAGAAAATGTATAGTGTACACTTATGGCTTTGCTCCCCGTGGCAACCAATCCCTTAACGGTCAGCTTCTTGCGGTTTTTCCGCCTTTAAAAACTCTGCCCCACCTCCCCTGCGGTTCATCCTGGAGGCCGGCTCCCTGGTCTGCAAACCACTGCTGAGCAAAACTGTCTTCGGTCTCTCAAACAGGCCTCCTGAAGTTTTCGTTGACAGACGACTCCCGCCTTCCAACCTGAAAGTTGGCAGGTGACAGACGTACAGTGTATAGTGTATCCGTGTGTATCTGAGAGAACACGAACACGAACACACACACGCACACGCAGGCTCCGCCGTGTCCCCCAATTCTACTCCCACACCAGCGCCCCCAGGGTCTCAGTGTGCCCTCCTCACGCCGGGGCGCTCACTCCGCATCAGTCGCGTCTCTACAGCCCTCACCTCCGGGACTCGGCGCTCAGCACCCAGGAAAACGGCGCTTCATCAGGTCGGGAAGGCAGAGTCTGCGCAAAGGGCTCTAACGCCTGCGCGCACAATCAGAGCTCGGCCTTCGCTCGGACTGCATTTCCCAGAAGTCTCCGCGGCCGGCGCGCTCCAGTAGGACGTATGAAACATGCGTCGGCCTGCGCCTCTGAAAGGATTGGCGACCCTGAGGCGTGACTGCGGTGGCCGCAGTGAGAGGCAGCGGGTGTGGCTGCCGAGGCTGTGGTCACCCTGGCAGTGCTGACCGCGCGTGGTGGCGCATCCCTCCAGTCCTCCTGTGGGGAATGTGTCTTTCCTCTGGTTTTCACCGCCCGGGACATGAGTCTTCTGGCGCTCGGAAGGGGCTTGTTTCTGCTTCAGCTTGTCCGCGGTCAGGAATTTGGTTCTGAGATGAGCCAGAGAGACGCAGAATTTAGTTCCGAGGACGGGGCTGGGCCTGAGGCAGCGTATGTGCACATTCTTGCGCGGAAGAGAAGAGCCGAGGACATAGTGTATTTAACCGGGGAGCTGCCCGACTGGCCAATAGCTGCTGGCACACCATCCTGCCTTCCTCGGTGCCGCTGGAAAGGGCCCTGGGGGAGGCATCGCAGGGATTCTCAACCTTTGCTGCACGGGAATTGATAGGGAGCGTACATTCTGATAGAACACCTGAATTAATCTGAAAAGTAATCCTATTATTTTAAATCTTAGGACACATATATACATATGTGTGAATAGGAGGTTAAGTTTCTCACGTGAATAGGGAGTTAGGTTTTTCTTAAGTTTCCCTTTCAAGGCCTGTGTGAAGCGATTGAGGAGGTGACTCAAGTGTGAATCCAGCAAGCAGAACCGATAAGCAGGGTCAGACTGACCAACCAGGAGTCAAAACATCATCTCATCAACATCCTCTCACCGCCTGATGACTAAAGACAATAGCTGACAACTGCGGACCTCCAGGGCTGCCTCACCCTAGCCCCTTCCCCTTTATAATCCTGCACCTGCTGGAAGACAGGATTTGATGCTTGTAAGCACCCTGTCTTCTTGGTTGGCTAGCCTTCTGGATAAACCATAACATGATTCAGCCCTGCCTTTGTTGGACACAGCGACAGGCAGCCAGAGCCCAACAGGGGGTTTCCTGGTAACAGAATCACCTGAAGAGCTGTAGAGATATATGTTTGGGGCCCACTCTGAGGAGTGAGAGTTTTAAAAGATCTCCAGGTGATTTTAATGAGCAGCTAAAACTAAGAACCACTGAGCTAGAGCTTCAGGGAAAACTGATGGTCACATAAAGAATATGATAAAATCCTATTTCAGGAACAAGTCTCCCCTTTTAAACAAACTAATAAACTACCATAGGTAAGGCATTGTCACACCCTTTGTGACCACTGTTTTGTTCTGTACCTTTAGTTTTGCTTTTTCCCGAATGTCATATAAACAGGATTATACATTATGTGACCTTTAGACTCTAAAGGCTAGGAAGTATGGAGACACGTCTGAGGTATGGTAAGCAAGCTCCTTTGAAATAGGGGTTCTTGTCAGAAACAGCAGGAGGTGAGGACAGACTGAAGAGGGCATTAAACACAAAACTGAGGGGTGAAAATTTATCCTGTAGGCAGTATGAAGACTTTCAGCGGCACAGGTAGGTGCACAAGAATGGTTAATGCAGCAGATATACACTAGAGCCGTGGTCAGCAAACTGCGGCTCGTGAGCCACATACAGCTCTTTGGCCCCTTGAGTGTGGCTCTTCCTAAGCCTTAGGAGTACCCTAATTAAGTTAATAACAATGTACCTACCTATGTAGTTTAAGTTTAAAAAATTTGGCTCTCAAAAGAAATTTCAATCGTTGTACTGTTGATATTTCGCTCTGTTGACTAATGAGTTTGCCGACCACTACACTAGAGGAAGGGACCAATTTTAAGCTGAGACTAGCAACAAAGTTGTTGCAGGCATCCAGGTATATAAAGTGACTTGGGTGGGGGTAACAGAAGGGCACTGGGGAAAAGATGAGATAGAGCAAATTAAGCTCATGTAAAATATGGGCTATTTCTGCTCCTGTGAACCTTGGCTATCTGGGAATACACATGATTTTTAGCCTTCTAGACTGGCATCCTGATCTCAGCTGTCCAGGTGGCTCCTGTGCATCCCACCTGCCTGCTCCCCTCTGCCTTGGCCAAACTCTTGGACCCCTAGATCCTGCTTGTCTGCATGGATCCACTTTAAACTGGTTCCCTGAATTCGGGGCTCAGTCTTCTCATCTGGAGTTTAAATGTCTGAGGACTGTCCTAGTACAAGCTAACTCTTTTTAGTCAAGATGACTCTGATCTATGGTAGCTCCTGTTCTCAACCTAAATTGCAGAGGCAACATGATATGAACCTGAGGGCCAGTAAACTTAGGGTAACTATTACCATGGAGTTTAGCAGCCATTTCTGCACAAACTACATGCAAACCACTTCAGGAAGAAGCATGCACTGAATGGCCTCCTGCACTGTTTCTGCCATCTCTCATAAAGGAGTCCTGGAATCTTATTTCAACCAGTAGGACGGAGGCTTTCCCTATCCAGTTGGAGCTGCATAGCTCCAACCAACATCTGTTCTGATCAATCATGTCAGTGCCTTTTGGACCAATCAAACTGAGAGGATTTGGATTTACATGGGAACAGACCAATCAGGGACCAGGGGTGGAACCTTCTGCCTCTATAACCCAGCTCCTCTTGGGCTCTAGGCAGGCCCTTGTCCTTTCCACCAAAGAGAGATGATTGTGTTTCCCTGGCTGAGCTGAACCATGGAGATGCTCACTAGAGCAGAGCAGACCATCGAGGAGCAGAGCAGAGCTGTCTAGCTGGTGAGGGGCCTGGCCCCAGGGCTGGCTCACAGCTATGCTGCATCACATTTGAGCTGTTTTTTTTTTGTTTGTTTGTTTGTTTTCTCTTCTTCACCACACCCCAAAATGAGGATTCCTGTTAGGACTGAATTGGTGCCCACGTCCAACCTTGATAATATGATCTACTTTCAAGGTTACTTTCTACCTCCTATGGAAACCTCCTACCATTATCAGTTGATCAAAGCAGTGGTAGGTCAGCCTGGATTTAAAGGAGGTCACACGAACTCAACTAGGCAAAGGAATGACATGCAAGCACATGAAGAGAAGGACGTGATGGGGGGCCATCTTCACAGGCACCCTACCATACACGAATTATTTAATGAGTCAGCAGTTCTCCCTCCCCAATCAATCCGTGTGCCAGTTCCCCAAACCCCTGCTAATACTGAGCGTGATCAACCTCTTTGCTTTAAATGGGCCAATTTGATGTTAAAAATCTAGTTAAATGGGCCGCATCATAAAAGAGGCAGGAGTGAAACCAGTTGTTTAGTTCAGCAAAGCAGAAAATAGTAGTAGATGAAGCAACCATCGATTTTGATAATCTTGGGCTCTAGCTTGTTACTAGTTTTGCTTTTCTGTATTTGAAATATTTACACTAACTTTGAAAATCGGAGGTTTGTCTGAGCAGGATTCCTAGCTTCCTACAAGACGTCCGTGTATTTAAAACTGTGAATAAAAACTGTAGCCCAGACTTGGTACACAGTGTGTGGCCAAACCTGAGAATCAGAACAAAGCGAATGGACTCCAGAGCGCGACTGGAGGGGGTATGAACGACTGGCGCCATAGCCCTCGTCTGCCTTACCGCGTGGACCTCCACTCAGACCCGTTCCCTGACGCCTGTGTGTCGCTCACCCAGATGCTAAGTCCCCAGGCCCAGCGCGTGCGGACGGGAGAAGGAGGTCAAAGGCCCGCGTCCGTCGCCTCGGAAACCGCCCCCGCCACCTCTCGCGAGAGAACGCTGAGCGAGCCCTAGCCCCGCCCTCCATCCTCGGGGACCAGCCCAAACCCCGCCCTCGGGTCCTCACCTGAGGACCCTGCGAGGCTGTCCGCAGCCGCGCCGGACTCGTTTCTTTCGGTGCCGGTCCGGACAGTTTCCCAGCCCGGGCTGCGCTGCGGCGCTGCCATCTGGCCTCGGGGATTGAGGCCCGGGGAGCAGAGGGCGGCTCTGCGACCCGCTGCAGTCTGGCGGGCGGTGGGGAGGGCTGCCTGGACGAAGCGCTGCGGGGGCTCCAGCATGGCGGCGGCGGTGCGCGCAGCGGGCTGCCTCCCTGCGCTGTGCCGCGTGCCCGCAGGTGAGAGCAGGGACACGGAGTGGGGGCCTTGGGCGGAGCGGGGACTACGGGCAGGGAGGGGGCCGGGAGCTCGTCTGGGCGAAGAGGAGCGTGGAGCCGCGCGCGGACCCTGGGCCCCTCACGCCGGCTCCCCACCCAGATGGGCTGTGTGACCTTGCGCGCGCCCGCGACCTCTCTGGGTTCCAGGGTCGGTCTGTAGCGCGAGGGTCCAGGGCTCCTTCCAGTTCTCCAGATGGTTCTGTCCCGTGTGCTGGGCAGAGCGGGGCCCGGAATCGCAAGCAAGTGTCGCCGTCCTGGTTCGAGGTGGAGGGCGGCCAGCAGAGCTTAAGGGAGAGAGGCTGTCCTACAGCTTGAGTCGCGTGGGTGTCCGACTGTTAGATCCCGGGCTGGCAGTACCATTATTTAAAAGAGGGCTGTTAGCTGCCGTCATCTAGTTCCAGCAGCCCCTGAAGGTTATTTCTCTACATTCTTGACAACGTTTGTCGTCAGTCCTTTTCATTATAGTCATCTTCGCGAGAGTGAAGTGGTATCTGTGATTTTGATTTGCATTTTTTATGGCTAATGAGCAGATTTTCTCATTGCTTATTGGCCATTTGTATATGGTGTTTTTGGAGACAGTCTTTTAAAATATTTTCCTATTTTTAAATTGGGCTGTCTTTTTTGAAATATATTTTCATTGTTTTCAAAGAGGAAGGGAGAGGGAGATAGAAGAAACATCAATGATGGGAATCAGTGATCAGCTGCCTCCTGCACGCCCCCTGCTGGGGATCCCGAGCCGCACCCCCAGCATGTGCCCTTGACCGGAATCCAACCCGGACCCCTCAGTCCGCAGGCCAGCTCTCCAGCCAGGGCTTGTCTTGGTTCTTTTATTCTATAGGTATTGATATTAATGTGAATATGGGCTTGACTGTTTTTAAAGTGCTTTTTCATGGAAAAATGTATCTTATTTATTTATTTATTTATTTATTTACTTACTTACTTACTTACTTACTTTACAGGTCTCTTATGGTCCAGGCAGCTTTACCCACACACCATTCCAACAGCTTCCACTTTGGCATTGAAGACTGTTCCCAGTAATGGTGAGATTTGTTTATTTAACTACCTTCTCTTAGATCTAATGCTAGAGTACTTTGTGTGGTTTTTAGAAATGTAAATGAACAAAGCATGTTCTTTGTAATGGAATGCATAGGGTCTAAAGCAGTGGTTCTCAACCTTCCTAATGCCGCGACCCTTTAATAATACAGTTCCTCATGTTGTGGTGACCCCCAACCATAAAATTATTTTTGTTGCTACTTCATAACTGTAATTTTGCTACTGTTATGAATCGTAATGTAAATATCTGATATGCACTGCTCGATCCCCAGTAGGGGGTGTGTGTAGGAGGTGGCAGATCAGTGATTCCTTCTCATCATTGATGTTTCTATCTCTCTCTCTCTTTCCCTCTCCCTTACTCTCTGAAATCAATAAAAATAAAAAAAAGTTCGGGATTTTTATGACTTAATTTTATTAGGAACAATTAATTATTTGGTTCTGGCAATGTTTATTCACAGCCATGGAGCATCTAATTCAAAGTTTTTTCCCATCTACCTACAGGCCCTTTGTCATCTCCAGGAACCAGAAACAATTGTCATTTCAGCAGCTTGACCTGTGCGCTACAGACACAATGCTGGATTTCTTCTCCCAGCAACTTGATGGGCCAACCGTATAGATCCTATAGTTTCTTCACTAAATGTATGTAGACTGGCTGCAAACTTCCCTTTTCATGAAACAGGAAAATTAAAGATGCTTTTATATCTTAATTTTTCTTTATTTTCTACTTCCTTAAGTGAATTTTCACTTTAGTGATTAGTATGTGATATACTATTAAAATAAAAATGTTCCTTCATGTGCCTTGTAATATTATCTGACATGCTACCAGTCATATTTGTATTATACTTTGGGAACCACTAGTTTACTTTAATGCCCTTCTTTGGGGCCCCTGAGGCTGCTTTAGATTCACACCAAGAAATATACTCGGAGTCTGTTTCCAGTTGTGCTTTAGTTGAGGTAGGATATCTAATCAGGAAAAGTTTATTTATTTTAAGTAGATATTTTGTTGACACGACTCCTACTTGTGATAGAATTTGAAAGAGTTCAATCTGAACTGATATAAATGGAGATTGAAATTACAACTCATCATTAGGCACATTTTTTAAAAACTAGAATTATAAAGCCAGTTTATTTTAAACTATTGGTAAATACAGAATCAAAAAAGAAAAGCACCTATAACCCTACTGCCTGAAATCCTGGTTTTGCCATCTTTTCATGCAGCGATATATTCTACATTTCCACGTTAGTTCACAGACTCTTCTCGTGCAGTGTTATGACAGCTGAATATTGCACTGTGTGGCTGTAGTTCACTGTAATGTGGAGGTCTCCTATAACTAGGTCATTGTGTAGCAATGCAGGAAAGAGGACTTGGTGGTAGGGACATAAGTTGCATAGGCTTTGTTGTATCTGCAGATTAGGTGCAGAGAGAAAAGAGAGGTGGATGGAGTTGGAGTCTCTTAGCGCCCCTATCCCCAAGTGTTTCTAAGAGTTGACTTTGTGCTTAGGGACTATATCAGACTCAAAGGCCTTGGGAATTTTTTTAAATAGTTTTTGCCTTGCTCTAAAAGGTCTTTTCTCCAACTCCTCTTATTCTAGAGGTGCCTTTTGTCCTCGTAGGCCCTGTCCCTGCACTGCTGTCCCACCAGCCTCAGACTCTGCATTAGCCTGTGTTCTCAGTTATGGGACTCTGTACCCTTATGAGTTTATTGGCTCCCAAGTCATATTGAGATTAGCTTCAAGGGGGTGTTCTCAGTTGAAATTAGCATGGGGCTAATTTTTTTGCTGTTTCTTTGACAGAAAGGGTTGAAATAATAGTAAATCTATTCTAAATAGCAATTTAGGTTAATTAGAATCTTAGGCCAGTTAAAATAGTAAAATCTCTGTCAAAACAATTCAACTTGTAGCTGTTAAAAAATTTTTGTGAATAATACTAAGAATATGAGATAAGGCTCATAATGTAATAAATACAAAAATACAAATGTTATAATTCCAACTTTGTCTAAAACAAAAATATGTATACACTTAAGTATGCATATATGAATTATAAAAATAGAAAATACATTCTGATCTAACAGTGGTGATGGGATTCTGAATATTTTTTATATTCTTCATAGTGCCTATATTTTCCAGATTTAAAAAAATAACCATTTCTGTTATAATCTTAAAAAGAGTTTAAAACCATTTTTTAAAAGCATAATGCCATTCAAAAGTTGACATGTGACTTGTCTTTTTCAAATGTAGTTAGAAATTTTATTTTCCTCTTATGGAAAAAAGATGAACTAAATGCTTTAGTCTTTTTTTCCTTGTCTCAATATCAACTTTAGTCTTTTATTTCCTTGTCTCAATATCAAGTTTTTTTTCAAATAGAACCCCTTTTAGTCTTAATGAGTGATTTTCTTATTCTGCTTCTAAGTGATTAAAAACTCTGTAATTGATTTACCTGTTAATATGCCTCCTTTGGAAAGGCTCTCATTGTGAACTTCCAGGTTTGGATGGCATTTGTAGGCACCATAATTTTTAAGCAGTCAGGAAAGAAAATCAACTGTTTAGAGTTTAGTCTGAGGGGTTGGTTATTTTATTTTGAACCTGTGCTTCTTTCAAGTGAATCAGTATCATCCTAAAGTTTGAGCTCAACCTAAACCCTTTGCTCTGATCAGGGGTGAACACAGCACTATATGATGTGGAGTCTCACTTACTCTTTTGACCTTCAGTTAATGGAAATCAGCTGTACCAATATGTGTTTTTCAAAAAAAAACAGTATACTGTGCAGGTAAAAGCATTTAACAGTATTATAAATCCAAAACATTTTTCCCTTTCGTGTTATCTACCCTGAGGGTCAAGTTAAGGCTTTTCAGGAAGCAAGCAGGTAGAACTTTTAAATCCTAAGGGAGGATAAAAATACTTGTGTTGTAGATATTTTTAGTACATCAGGCAGGCAGCTATATGTAGTTTAGATTTTTGACTAGTACAACATTTGTGTGGCTATGATTCTTTATTAAATAAATTGATAACGGAACAGAACCTGTGGTTATAAAACCAATTGGTGATACTGTGAAAGGTTGGAAGTCCTTGGGAAGAGAGAATTTAAATCTAATTAATGATTTAGATTCTACACCAATAAAATTCAGAATTATTTTAGTATTATTCACAATTAAATTCTACACAAGTAAAATTCAGAAGTAAAGAATCTGCACATTGGCTTACCAGCACTCTGTATCAGACGCTGAGGGCTGACGACCTCCCCTGTCCTGGCTGCTGGCCCCCAGGGAAGGTCCCCAGGGAAGGCTCCGCCTGGGCCCCGGAGACACCCCTTGGTGGTTCTGGCAGCCAAATGGAGGATGCCTGCCATGCCTTACATTCTATTGGAGTCAGAAAAAAAAAAAGCAACAACAATAAACCTCCCGAGGGCAAGTAAATCTGATTAAATGAATTCAAGTTCAAAAAAAAAAAAAAAAAGAATCTGCACATTACACAAGCACAAAGGGGAAAATACTGATTGAAATGTATGGTAGGAAAAGATTTTGGGATCCTTGAAATTCACCAGTGGAAATCAGCAGTGTCAGGTCTATACGTAAAGTAAAAGAGAAGCGTGGTTTAGGAAGACACACACTCACATGCACATTTCAACTCTCAGACCCCTACTCACTCGTTCTTTCTGTGTATTGATTAGGTTTTAATCAGAGTTGAAGGTGAATTGGGGCATTTTATTTTGAAAGAGATGTTTAGGTCATTCACAGAAGAATAAAGCAAAACGTCCAACTGATTAAGACTTATGGGTTCAGATTGACACATCGGTTCTTGTTTAGGTTAAAAAGTCTGTATTTAAGAAGGAAAGTTATTGATTATCTCAGTGGTTTTAATGGAGGCAAGAGGACAGGGAAGAGATCTGTAAATAGTTGATAAAATGTCTGGAAAGCAAACTTGTTGGAAAGAGGGATCTAAATGTTGGCTGTCTTTTGTAGAGGAAGGCCATATTTGAAAGTAGTAGAATTGGTTCCTTTTGGGTTTTCCAAATGTAATTATGAGATATGTGCAAAGAATGGTTTAATTTTACTTTCATTTCTGCAATGGTGCAAGTGAAGTTGGCGTCTTCTGTTCTTTTCTATTCGATGGGAGACGATATATCATTGCTTAAAAATAAGATAAATAAATAAAATCCTCTCTCATTACAGTGACAGCAGATGAGCTGTGGAAAGGTGCTTTAGCAGAAACTGGTGCTGGAGCAAGAAAAGGAAGAGGAAAGAGAACTAAGAGAAAGAGAAGGAAGGATTTGAACAGGGGTCAGATCATCGGTGAAGGTAAGCTTAAAAATATAGCTAATGTGCTTTTTAAGGTTCCCCGCCCCCCCAAATTTTATAGATATTTTTACAATCTAGAAGCATTTAAACATTTCTCTTGAAGGACATGAGGATCTGCTGCTCACCCCAGGAATCTGGGGGAGGAAAATTTTGTAGAAAGGGATTCATTCATTCCTTCCTTCCTTCCTTCCTTCCTTCCTTCCTTCACAAGCCTTCGGTATCAGTGTAGCATATGCTTTGACAGTTCCTGTCCTCAGCTTATGATTCAGGATAAAAGATGGAATAAATGGCGAGTTGGCAAACTCTCTCTGCAAAGGGCTAGATAGTAAATAGTTTCAGCTTTGTGAGCTGCATGGTCTCTGTTACAACCAGGGGCACAAAATAGTCATTGACAATACATAATCAAATTAGCATAGCTTGTTCCAATAAAACTTTATTTATAGAAACAAGTGGTGGGCTTGATTTGGCCCGTGGCCCTTAGGTTTACCTGGGAACACATGATTGTTTATTCTTGTGTTTTTTTTGAAGAATAAAAATAGTATGGTGTACTTGAATTGGCATTTCGTTGTGGTTGCTGATAAATTATTGTTGACTGGAGGCCCGGTGCATGAAAATTCATGCACTCGGTGGGCAGGGGGGGTCCTTCAGCCTGGCCTGCGCCCTTTCACAGTCTGGGACCCCTCAGGGGATGTCTGACTGATGGCTTAGGCCCCCTCCCCAGGAAATCAGGCCTAAGCTGGCAGTCAAACATCCCTCTGGCAGTCTGGGAGCCCTCAGGGGATATCCAACTAATGGTTTAGGCCCACTCTCCTGCAGGGAGTGGGTCTAAGCCATTAGTCGGACATCCTTAGCACTGCCACGGAGATAGGAGAGGCTCCTGCCATGCCCTTGCGCTGGCCAGCCATGAGCTGGCTTCTGGCTAAGCAGCACTCCCCTTGTGGAAGTGCACTGACCACCATGGGGCAGCTCTTGCATTGAGCATCTGCCTCCTGGTGGTCAGTGTGTGTCATCGCGACCAGTTGTTCCTGGTCATTCCGCCCTTAGGGTTAATTTGCATATTACCCTTTCATTATATAGGATAGTAATAGCCTTTCAGGCATGAAATAAACACATTCACTGTTCTAGTTACTGCATATCTACTTGGATATCTTTCTCTGCCTTACCTTGAATTTTACTTACTTATTTATTTATTTATTTTTAAAAATATATTTTATACAGAGAGAAAGGAAGAGGGATAGAAAGTTAGAAACATCGATGAGAGAGAAGCATCGATCAGCTGCCTCCTGCACACCTCCTACTGGGGATGTGCCTGCAACCAAGGTACATGCCCTTGACCGGAATCGAACCCAGGACCCTTCAGTCCGCAGGCTGATGCTCTATCCACTGAGCCAAACCGGTCAGGGCTACTTATTTGTTTTTTAATTTAAAAATATTTTTGATTTCAGAGAGGAAGGGAGAGGGAAGAGAGAGTTACAAGCATCAATGATGAGAGAGAATCATTGATCAGCTGCCTCCTGCACATCCTCTGTTGGGATCGAGCCCGAAACCTGACATTGTGCCCTTGATCAGAATCGAATCCAGGACCCTTCAGTCTGCAGGCTGATGCTCTATCCACTGAGCCAATTGGCTAGGGCTGTATTTTATTTTTTTTTTAATTTAAAAAA